ATTCACACTCCTCCCAACCCATTTACACTCTTGCTTACTCTACTTGGGCCGTAGCAACCTTGTTTGGGTTCCTCAAATCAATGACACCAGTACACAAAAAAGTCTTACATACTTATTTAAGAAAAAATAGCTGATATAATGGGTCCTTAAGATGACTATCAAAAAGTTCTGTAAGAAATTGGGTTATATGACCTTGGATTAAACACCGCCATAGGTATAACCAAGACCAGGGTGTAGAAGAGACTTCATCTCTTAAGGGTAATGTCTGACAAAACATTAGGGGGATTTAGACTAGGAACAGAGAAATCTTGGTCAGTTCTGGTTGGCTGTGGTCATAGGGGAGTAGTGATGTGGAAGAGGAGGCAAAAATATTACCTGTATATCTGGGTACTGGCTGAAGTTGTAGATCACCCATAGAGGGTAAAAAAAAAAAAAAAATCAATTTCCTCTAGTATGTCATTTGCTACTTTTTAATTAATAACATTAAACAGAGGTGAGGCAACATTAACAAATAAATGAGCAATTGAGAGTATTACATTTTTGGGAAAAATAACACATTGATATTTTGATTTATGGTTTTAATAAGATCCTAATATAAGTGATTGGTAAAATTTTTACTATTTTAATGTAATGAGTGCATTGTAGCATTGTAGTTGTGATTGTTTAACTCACATAACGATAATTTTCTTGCATTTACCTTAAAGATGTGTTCACAAGTTAATATTGTAATATTTCATAATTCTCAGTCAGAAGCTTTTATGTAATGCAGAAAATTTAAATCCCATTTATTAAGCTTCTATTAAATTCCTAACGCCCCATACTAACACCATGGAAGATAGATATATTACAATAGACATTCCTTTATTTCAAAAATATTTACAATGTATTTGGAGTAATTAAATGAAAACATTAAGTACTTTATAGTAAAGCTCATCACTGCATTGGGCTGTGTTTCTGAAAATGCAACATCACTGAAACTGTGTATGGAGAGGCATTAAATTCGGGAGAAAATGAGAACTTGATATTTTTGGTCATTGTTGTTAAGCCTTCTATTGTGCCACACTGCTACCAACTACGATGTTTTATATACGTGCATCAACTGTATCTGACATCAAATATTCTTTCACAAACCCTCAAGCCTCAAGTTAGAATTATATTGATAAGGTTCAGAAGTAAATCTGCTTATAAGTTTGAATACCTTTAACTTGGATATTTAGATCGTAGAAATAGTGTTACATTTAAAACTAAAGTGCAACTCATATTGTTTCTAATCACTTATGCATATAAATGTGCATTTTCTTTTGGGTCAAAATGAGGCAGAGGTGTAATGTGAATTTTCAATTCCTTTGTACAACAATAGTCTCTCACATAACAAAGAACAAAAGCAAACATATGTTCACAGTGGGAAGGATTATTACTCGATCATCTGTAGAAGCATGGCCCAAGGAGCCTTTGCCAACCTACTGGGGATGTCACATGTAAAAAGCTTTCTCCAAAAGGATGGCAATATGATTTATTAAAGGACTCAGATGACACAGGAGTTAAGGGCAGCAAACTTCATTGTGATGGAAAGAGTCTAAGCTGCTCTAGCAAAATGAAAGGATTATGGTTCACCTGCCAACACGGTGCAAAATATGGATGAAACCTCAACCACGAAAAGAGAAACTTATTTGCGTGTGTATCGGGTGGGGGCAGACATAGGAAAGGGGAGAAAGGCAGATGGGCCATGGAAAGCAGATATTTCTCCTGGATAAGAGTGGAATGGCCAATATCATAACACTAAAATATAATTCTATATTATAGAATTAAATATGAACCTGTTTCAGAAAATACAATATTAAGACCCTTTTTTAATTTAATATTCTTTGACGATATCTCTGGTAAAGGCAGAAATAGAAAGAAATAGAGAGAAGGGGTTAAAAAAGGACAGATGCCAAGCCCGTGAGTTTAGGGAAATATTCCAGCTGACTACTAAAAAGCAACATTTCAGGGAAGGCCAACTTCAAATTCCTATGATGTCATATTCCACAATCTACATCTTAGTAGTCAGAGTACTTATACTGAGTAAACTGATACAGGAAGACATTTTCCAGGAGGGCTTCAGTAAAGATAGGACAAGTGTAGAAAGTTACATTTCTTTCACTGGGAATTACGGGAAGATGCACAACAGCCAGGCTCACCAGATAAATACCTCACTTGCATTCATCCATAGAAGGCTTTGAAATTAGTAGCTTTCCATTTAATAACAGAGTTCCATTTTTTGCTTCTATTTTACATAAATCATCAATATTGATATAAAAATAAAAATTTTCATAACCAACATTGTGTTTAGGCAAGATAGATTATGCAGCTATTGGCTTCATAATGTGCAGTGGATGATTTAGACAATCTGAGATGCCCTATTCTATGTGCTCATCACTACTACATGGATAAGGAATGTGGCACAGAGACTTTTTTTGCCAGTCACATTTAGGTTCCCTCAATGGAACTGGTTATAGTCATTTATACACATTCAAACTTTTATACTTTTCCACCATTGATATCCAGCTGCTTATATTTGAGTTGTGGAAAATATAAAACTATAAATAAAGCCTCATACTTGAATTTCTCTGTCTTATGGTCTTTCAGGGTTTTCATTCTTATATGAAGGATATTCATATGGAGTAGTGAAAAATGTATTAACTGTGGTGAAAACTATGGAATTTTTTTTTGCAGGGGAAAGTTGAGAGAATGTTTTATTTCTGACTCGGCACACATGAAACATTTTAGATTTTATTATTGAGTTACAGTCAGCAGTTTGGTATTTAATAATGGAACTTTTCCCATCCTCCTATCACCACCTGCTTGAGTAGATATATTTTACTGCACTTATTCAGGACCTAGAATTTAAAAATATCTCCACATTACAAAGAGATTATACTATGTGGCCAATGTACCATGTAATATACTATCCCCGAAATGTAAGACGTTACCTTATGTGCCCAATTTACCACTTTGAACAACTCATGCCAACTGCAACAAAATAGGAGCAAATGAAATAACATGTAAAGTAAAATACCTGAAAAACTGGCACAGAGAAGATATTTAATATATACAGTTTTGTCTTCTTTCCTCTGATATATTTTATATTCAGATGACAAAAATATTACATTCACATAAACTAAAAGACAATGAGTTTTCCTATAAAATTGTGTCCCATTACAATAATTATTATTTAAATGGCAAACTTTGCCAATGTATTTACTATGTGATGCAGTTTGCCATAATTTACATTTACCAGCAATGTTCGGGAAGGTACCTATTACGTGAAGCAGGTTGAATCTTTATGGCAATCAGTAACATTATCATTATGCCATCACTAACTGCATTTTCTCATTCCAATATTGAGTTCTATGTCAAACTGTGGCCACATTTATTTTATTTAATTGCAAAACCTTACCCCTACTCCCAACCAAATCATTCTCTCATTTCTGGAATTTTCTCATGAAGAACTCAAGCAAAAACCTGCAGTTGTGCTGAAGGTTAGGTTTGGATCAGATGTCATGTACATAACTCTTAGCTGTTAGTAAAATGTATAGTGACTTGATTTCTCATTTTGAGTTCATGACAATTATCGCATAGGTAAAATAGTCGTGACAGTTTGATAAATAGTTAGACAATGACTAATAGACAACTTGATAAGTCTAATACATTTGTGATGTGTACAAAAGAACAACCTCCTACAGTAAAAACATATAACTGAGCTTATTATTTACCATATTTTAAAATAAAATGATTATTGATCACTTAAAAAAACGTAAAAGCATATTAATATAATTTAAGGTCTTACTTAGGTATTCTGCTGCTGTTTCTCCCTGAAAAATTTTTTTCTATTTTGTGTTAAGACAAATGAAAGTATGGAGTATTTAAATTTAATGCTGTTCTTTATCCATTGGTCCTGTTCCACTATATTCTTTTCAGGCATTCATAATTAATGGTGCATATAAGCAAGAAGTGACTCTATAATAAGAAAAACTTTAGATCCATTAACCTTGCATCCATTTCTAGGGTAGGTTTCACTGTGGTCCTGAAAGGATAGCTCCGAGTCACCTGTCGACATTCTTGAGTTTGCTTTGCGGAGAGGGGAAAGGACTAATGACAGAACTACAGTAGATCCGCTAAAGAGATGAGTGATAGACAATCACTTCACTTCACATCGCCTTCCAAGAAAACATCTGGCTGACATTTATTCAAAAAATTTATATACAGTATAGTTGTCAGACTGATTTTTCAAAAGCAACCCCTTTTCATTTTTCTCAAAGTAAAACCGCGGGGTAGCACATTCCTAAGAAGATAGGAAAAAGTTAATTATTATATATTTTTCCACCATTAAATCTAGGGGTAGTATCATCTGTAAATATAGCGGAGAAAGTCTAGAGACTTTTTAAAAGGAACCCTAAAGATGTTGATAGGAGTTGGGGAAAGGAATCCTTGCCAAGCTCTGCCTGACACTCCTTATTCAAGGAAAATTCTGCCCTAACGCAGCCCTGGCAGTCTATTTGTGACCAGGGAGCTCAGTCTCGCTCCATTCCCCAGTGTATAATTCCAGCTGTAAGGAAAATTAAGACAAAGCAGCCACACATTCTGTGCGAGGGAGGGCGGAAAGGTTAAGCAGCGTTGGGGAGCAGTGGAAACCAGAAAAGAGAGTGACCTCATTTTGCCTGAGAAAGCGCCATCCAACAAGCCCACCTTTGATGCGGATATCAGCGGCGGTAAAAGAGCACAAAGGGCGAAAGCTGCAGAGCGCAAACTTCCCTTATCTTTCCACCCCCACCTCTCAAGACCACCAGGAACACGCACACGCGAGGACAACAAAGCGTGCGCCCAGGCTGCACGGCGGGCGCTTCCCGCGGCCGGGTCATCGCGCCCTGGGCGCGCCGCTCCTCACGGCAGAGCGAGGGCGCCTGAGCGCGGCAGCCGCCAGGACCGCCCGGAAGGAGGGGTGGGGGGAGCTCCCCTACCTTGAACAGCACAAAGAGCCAGAGCAGAGGCAGGAGGCGGAGGCCGGCGTGTGTCCCCGTGGGCAGGTGCCCCATCGCTGCGCGGACGGGGACCCGGGGGCACGGCTGCGCTAGCGGACTCCCCCGGCGGCGGCTCACAATGGCGAACTGGGGCTGCAGCCTCAGACCGTGGTCGCCGAGGTTGCTCCTGGCGGGCGCATGCTGCCTTTCCAGTCCCCCTGCGCCTGCTCCCTTTCCTCCTCGGCGCCCGGAGTCCTCCAAGAACGTGCCAGGCGCTGCTGTTCTTTAATGACTAAGGATGTAGAGGGTGGGGATTGGAGTGGGCGAGGCTCTGTCGCCGCCACCACCGTGGCTGCCGGAGGAGGCGCAGGGTACGCGTGGTGAGCGAGAGGCGGGGGCCCCCGCGCCCAGCCCGCGGTGGTCCTCTGGCAGCAGGGACACTTTCACTCTGACTGCCTACCCATAAAATGACAGCAGCCTCCCAACCCTTCCGCTGCCTGCTACTGCTGGACAGCCCCCCACTGCAGACTCCGCCTCAACCCTTCCCACAGTCTCTGAGTCTCCGGAGTTCTGTGGGGTTTCCCTGACCCCTCTTGAGCAATCCAGGCGCCAGATCCCAGTTCCCTCTCGATCTTCCTACATCTGTACTCAATTGCAGGTATAAAGGATCAGTAACACCTGGGTGGTGGTGACTGTAGAAACAGTGTGTAGTGTGAGTGTGTGTGAGTGTGTGTGTGTGTTAGGAAGGGTATTTTCTCTCTTTTCCCACTGCTTCCTTTCTCTCCATCCCGTTTATATCCTCTCCGTCCCACACTCACCCAGGAACAAATAGCACAATTATGTACGTTTTCCATTTGAAATCAGCCGTTCTTGTACATTTCAGATTCTCTTTTGATACCAAAGTCTGTCGGGTCTCTTGAAGTTGAATATAGAAGGGGAAAGAAAACCACAATATTTTACATGTAAGACCCTTGAACAACACGTTTTTGAACTCTTGGGTCCAATTATATGCAGATTTTCTTTCCCCTCTGTCAGGCTTGAGACAGCAAGACCAAACCCTCCTCCTCCTCCTCAGCCTGCTCAACCTGAGAAGGATGACGTTAAAAACTTTTATGAGAATTCATTCCTACTCAATGAATGTAAAAATGTATTTTCTCCTCCTTATGGTTTTCTTAATAACATTTTCTATTCTCCAGCATACTTTATTGTAAGAATACAGTATACCATACATACAACACAAAATGTGTGTTAATCAACTGTATATTATGCTATCAGTAAGGCTTCCAGTTAAGAGTAGGCTATTAGTAGTTAAGTTTTTGGTAAGTGCAAAGTTACATGTGGATTTTCGACGGCATGGATCCCTGTGTTGTCCAAGTGTCAGTGGTATGTACAAGCAGTTATTTGTTTTTTTTTTTTTTAACAATTATCTGTGAATAATTTTCCTGAGACTTTTTAGAATCACAAGCAACGACTCTCAAGCTGTGAGTCCTTGATCTACTACCTGTTTCCTTTTTTGTTATGTGTATTTTTTGAAAAATAAGTCTGTCAAAATCAACCCTGGTATGCATAGCTCAGACAGAAATCACTTCTTAATGTCCTGTAAATTACCCTACCGTGCCCTGTCAGTATTGGAACTTATTTATCCCGGAGTCATGCTTGGGCACCAGGAGACAGGAAAGGCCACCCTGGTCAAGAACGTAGTTGTTCAGCCACAGACTTTGTCTTGGTCACACAGCTAGGGAGTGGTGGCCCGAAAAAGGATCCAGGCCTGTGTTTACTCAGCTTTTTCTGGATGAGCAGTGGCCAAACACTAATCATTTGATGGTTGTATGTGTGTGTCTTAAGGAAGTTTCAGATTCAGTATATTTACATAAGTGTGAAAAAATATATATATACACACACATACACACATATATATGTATTAATGTCGTATGGATGAAAATATAGAATCACGGTCTGAATTTATGTGAGAATATTATCCATGGTGTCTTTGTTTGGAAGCTTCTTTTGTTTTCCCCTTCTTCCTATCACATGCTCTCTTCAGCGCCCTCAGGTCCACTCTTCATTGGTTCGGGCTTTTTCTTTCTTTTGAGAAAATGTTAGCTGCTCCTCTCTCCCTCTGGGTCAGACTTACGGGCTATCTGATCATTTAATCCTTGGGATTGCGCTTACAGGAACTTTGGTTTATTATGTTTTCTTTTTATTTTGATGCTCCTGAAGTAGCATTTTATTTCCACTCATCCTCAGAAGTGGCTATAAAGTGATCTAACCTCTAGAACCTAAGATATGTGTAGGCCAAGGGCAACAATCACACTCACAGGATGCCAACAATTGCTCTTTGGTGAAGCGATCAGTTTTAAATGTGTCTGTGAATTATGGGACTGTATGATGATATTCATGTGTGTGTATGTGTATGTATATACATGCATATAGTCTTGCCTGATGTGTGTGGAGCATTTGAAAGCAGTTCTGATCATACATTAATCTTGTAAATGCAACAAGAACTTTCACAATGAGGCAGGCTTTAAATAATCATATTTTGCTATGTCTTTCTGTTTTTCTGTTAGTCATATATCACAATTTGTTTAGCTCTTTCTGTCTGTGCATATGCACATGTGGACCACTTTGGAGGAACAATAGCAGCAAACAGTTAAGTAGTAAAGCATTAGTAATTGGCACTGTTGTTATTTTATTAGTATCATTGTGGTTAGATGGGCTGAAGACTGAAAGGATTATTTTATAATCGCAGAAAATTCCCTCTCTAGAGAAAAGTATTTTACATTGCTATTGCTGGATAAAATACTTTCATTTGTTTTTATGGCGCTTAAACCATAACAGTCCTTTGAATTGTCCTAGAAGAGACTCTCATAAAGAATGTGAATGCTGTGTCATCAGCAGTGTGGGGTTTTCAATTCATAGAACATGTTTTGTGTTTCTTTGAACTATTGACTGGTTTCTCAATACAATATTTCCAAAGTATGATAAATCTTATTAGGCTTTTTTCAAGACTCCAGATCAACGAAACAGCCAGAGGCAACATACAGTGCATATAGTAATTTATGTTTCACCAACTGCTTCTACATATTTGTCCAGATTTCATTATGACAACCACACTGTTAAGTAAAGAAGGCTGAGATCGTTATCACCAACTGTTTTCCTGTAATGCTACTTTTCCTGGAGAAAAATAAACACAGAAAAATAATAAAAAATAGTAAAATGTCTTATATGCCATAAAATAAGCATTGAAAACATAAATTCTCACAAATTGAAATAAAGCTCTCTGCTTCCTTTGAAAATTAAAAAAAATGGTTAATGATTATGAAACTGGCAGGTCTTTTTAAAATCTGTAGGAGTCTTGGTTTTTACTAAGAAAAGTGATCTTTTCCTAAATATGTAGAAATGTGTCTCTGACTATGGGGTTCACAGCTATCTCTTTTATACAAAAGCAAGAGCAGACACAGAGATGAAGCTAGAATCCCTGTGAGAGGTTTAATGAGGAGTCAAATGGAACTCTTACGGTGCCCTTGCCAATGAAGCTCAATTCTGTCCTCCAGGGACCAACTCTAATGCAGTTCATTGTGTTTAGTCCTGGCTTCCACTGCTGAAATAGTCTACAAGGCTGTCAGCAGTTTCAGTATTAGATAGTTGTATTTATGGGGGGTGCTCAGTGACAAATAATTTACTTTATATGGAATAAAAAGAAAAATTCAAGCCATTGATCTCTAGGCTGTATTCCACTAGAAAAGTAATAGCCATTCAATTTGTTTCCCATATCTCACATGTTACAATTTTTATAGCATATGAACTGTACATTATGTGTATTAACCTCTTAGAAGAAAATGACTAGGAAGCATTCTGATTTTCTATTTATTTGAGCATTTGTTTTAATTCTTTCTCTTGATGAGCAGTGGTTTCTCACCTTAATGATGTGTTGACAATTCATAAGTTTTATGTCTTTCAAAATGAGAATGATTGACAGCTCTCAGGTGAGTGGCATGTTCTGACTGCCAAGACTTATTACTCTTGCTACACTTGAAAAACAATGGAAATACACTAAAGAAGGTCATTTATGCTTTTACAGGAAGAGAGTTTTTCCATTACATTCCCCCCCTCCCAAAAGGTTTCTATTAAGAGACTTCTTTGTACTTGACTCTTACATGTTTCAAAAAATCAAATAAGAATAATATTGCATCACAAGATATGTTTTATAACACAAAACTATATACTTAAAGAAATAAGGAAACATACATAGAAAGTGATATATATATATATGTGTGTGTATATATATATATAAAACTGAATATATATATATATCAGTTCACTGATATATATATATATATATATATCAGTTCACTGATATATATATATATTATTCAGTTAACTGATATATATATATATATATATATATCACTGAACACAAATTACAGGCTATAGGATAAACACCCTACATTAGAAATGCAGATTGTCATGTTTTTAGATATTATACCTTCATTCAGTCATATACAAGGATTACTATTTATTACTAGCATTTCATTTAATTGCTCTGAAACTTTAATAAAAGACATTAGACACCCTTAAGTTATAAAATTTTATCCCATATTTTATTTATATGAAATGCCTTGACTAACAAATTTCTAAAAGATTTTTTCTAAATATTCCAGACATTGCTATCATCTACTTAGCTTTTATTCATAACTAGGCTTTTTGGCTAACTATAAAGTATTAGCATCCCTGCACTGGATGATTCACTTTATCTTGGCATAAATGGCAAGAATAGAACCTGAGTGTAATTTATAGCTAAAGGAAGACATAGTGTTTGCTAAGTGAAAATGGTGTCTGCTGATGCTTCCTTCCCTTCCTTCTTTACTTCCCTTCAAATTAAAGAGGCAATGCAACATTTACAGTCGACTCTGTGTCACACATAGTGCCTACAGATGTGCCACTTAAAAGCAGTTACAAATATCTCATTATGAAAAATTTGGTGATGGTGATTTCAGATGCTGTGTATAAGCTATGAAAACATTAATCGCATATTTTGAAAATCCACTGCCTTAACTGCTAAGGATATTGTACCTCAGCAGTTACAGTAGCATAGCAGGTATAGCAACATTGCAATGACAATCATACTTTGAATCAATCACACCAAATCAATTTTTATGCTAAAATCACAAAGCTAATGATATACTGAAATCTAACTGAGAGAAGGGGTGAAGATGACCGTACTCAGAAGATATTAGGGGATGCCACTGATAGATTGGTATTATTACCTGTCTTAGCAGAAGGAGTTCGAGGAAAAAATTTAAAGAAGGCGCAGCAATTCTAGAGAAAATTAAAGTGCCCAAGGGAAAACTAAAACATCCTCCTCATCAAAAGACAAAGAGAAAAGGCACAACAGGAAATTCACACATTTCTAGATGCAATTGCTTAGTGTGAATATCTGTAAGAGAAGCAGTTTGGGAGTAGGGGTTATATGTAGAGATATCACTTGTTTTGGTTAATAATTTGATAATGTGGAAAAATTATAAAGTA